CTCAACAGCAAGACTTCCACACAGAACATAAGAACCAGCTTGAGAAAGAAACGGATATCAAGCCTCAGAAGCTGCTGGCCCAACATCAAAGAGGTACCGCTGTCGCCAATAAACAAGATCTAAGCTTGTCGTACGCACAGAACAATCACTTTTTGATGTGGTAGCAGTTCTAGGGACAATATGATCCCAAAAATATTTCCAACTCTCTAGACTGCCTCAGACCTTCACTGCTTATTCTGGTACACAACTTGCTGCAGTTTTCGTTCCCATACTAGAGATAAACTATCCTTGCTGCTTCTTCTGATTCAAGACATGATCCAGCAACCTCCAACTCTCCACGCTTCAGAAGATAACAACTACTGCAGCTCTGTTTCATTTTGCATTACTGCTCCATCTACGCTCTTCTCTCTATCCAGGCAGCAACCTCGGAGTCCTCTTTTCTGCTTCTCTTCTCATTAAGTATTTCAAAACAGATCACCTCTCTGTTCTTCTCACACTTATAAAAGATGACTTGAGATTGTTGAGACTGAAAGCTAAAATATCTCCCCCCTCCTCAGTCCAACAATGCTTTCTTACCAGATCAGATAGCTTCACGTAATCCTACACCATACAACGAAGTCTTATCCAACAGCATCTCCTCTGTGGCTGTACTAACCTTCGACCTTTCAAATCTGATCTCCATAGCCTTCAATTTTCAGGCTTAAAACCATCTCATTCATTGAGTCATATTATTGAGAATTTATTTTCTTCCTGCATAAGAAAATCATCTACCAAGTATGGTAGTCTTCTTCCTCAAATTCTCCAGGGCTTAAGCTACGAGTCTTGCTGGTGACTTACCAAAAAAAATCTGAAACCTCAGTCTCACAAGCGCAAATAGAGTAAAGCCCTACATTCTACAAATCATATAGGCTCATCGAACGCATCCAAATGTGCCCAGCTACGCGTGACAGGGCCTTTGCACTTCGTCTCGTGGAATATGTCGCAAGCCATTTTCGCCCTTATAGCCTTGATCTTTTTCCTGCATAGAGCCGAACTTGTGAAAGGTATTCCGAGTGCGTGGCACTCAATGTACTTGAGGGTGAATACTCCGCAGTCCCCGGAGTTATCTTGTTGAGGAACCCCTTTAACCCGTTCAAAAGTGAACTTGTCGAACAGATAGTTCTCTCGGTCTTCAATATCAGCCAGTTCACGCAGGACATAAGGCATCATTACTTGAATAGGCTCATCATTTAGTCTCTAGGTCGGGATCTCCGATGCAAGAAGGTAAACTATCCCAGACCACAATGTGCCTATTTGGGATCGACACCATTAGAGCAATCCAGTGTGTCTGGTCGACGTTAAGAGGGATGTATATGTCGTCAACGTCGCGGCCCCATCTCTTGAGTGATTGGCAGTACTCTGGCTTCTTCCCATAGTAGTAATCCATTGAGTCCGGTGGTAAAAACTTCCCCAGACCCCATACATTAGGCTCTGACTTCATGAACATTTCATACTTTGAAGGCCTGAACAAGCTGAGACCACTGTCAACCAGGCATATGCGTTCACTTCTGAACCATTCCGGGTGTTCATGCATCCGAAGACGTAGGACGTTAATAGCCGCATCCACCTGCTGAAAAGAAATAAAGAGGATCTTGTCCGTAAGTTAACAATACCTAAGCAACAACACTTTAGCTAGACCTAACAGGAGGTCTACGTTTGATATTTATGTAAGCAAAAACAATACAGATAGACCTAAACTGGAGGTCTACGCTTTATAGACCTAAACAGGAGGTCTACGCTTGATAACCTAAACTAGAGGTCTACGCTTGATAGACCTAAACTGGAGGTCTACATTAGTTCTTACCGAGTCGGATAGCCACTGAGGCTGCGTAATCAGTTCCCACCACCAGTAACGCAAAGGATATAAATCCTTGTCATTCTTCGGGTACCCACTGCGCATGTTGAAATAGAATTATGAAGAACATTAAAGATTTGAACGCAATGCATATTTAGATGTGGTGGTTCTTACGGTGTGCTTTTCAGAAAGGCGTTGAGCTCTTTACGGACTTGTTTGTCTTCCACGGCAAAGGGATTGTATGGTTGTGCGGTCACTCGTGGCTTCTTGGTGATGATTACCTTGACTGTGATGTTTCCTAGGAAGGGAGACTTCTGAAGGACAGAGCTAAAAAAGAGCAAGAGAGAGTAAGACAATGGTCTACAGTTACAAGCACAACAAATAAAAACACAAAGATTGGCAAAACCATTGTTAAAAAAAGCTTGAAATTTTGATGCCTCCGGCCTCCAAAAGTCTACTTGTTAACTTCTGCTTCTTTTTAGTCCTATCTCGGAGGACTCTATCAGAGACATCCTTATCTTGGTTTTTAGTACATTTGGGAGATTTGAGAGAAGGAGACGTACTAACCGGTCCAGCAGGTTTTTCAGGTTGGGTATTGGCCTCGTTTGATTTTACCTGCTCCGGAAGCCGTGCATCTCTCATCTGCTGCAAACTTTGCTCCATACCCACAACCTTCGTGGTCGATGTGAGCTTCCGGTCGTACTTCTGAAACCCCACTTTGAGCTCACCAAAGATGGTGTTGGTGAACTCTGCAAACTCTCCTCGATCCCCTGGCCGAGTGAAGGACTCCAAGGACAATGCCTCTTCTGTGAAACGGATTCCGTCTCAGTGATTCCTCTCTGGCTCTTAGACTCCTCCACCCGAGGATGCCTTGCCACCAATACACCCGCCTCAATCCAGTCAGTCATCTTCCACCTCCAACGACCACCAAGCTCACCGTGCAATGCCTTGACGATATTGTCGACATCCCCGTCGTCTACAACATCATCCCACCGCGGGTACACCTGAGTCCTATCCTCCACAGCGGTCCAGTTGTTGAAATTAACCTGGCGGCAATGTAACAGGAGTTATTTGGAGACTTACAATAACCAAGTGAAAGAAGACAACCTAGAGAACTACAGTACATTGACAATAAATTTACCTGCTTCAGCATGGCCTCCGCGATGTATCTTCGGCCCTTGACACCCTTATACGCCAAGACTGGTGGAGTTGGATTGGATGGAAGAGGGGCTCCGTACTTTCTTGCAAACTCAGGCATGCAGTGATAGGCCCAAACTTGGAGGACTTCGACGAACCCATCCATTGCGAAACCGGACTTGTCTAAGTCTACTCCTTTGACAGCTGTCATGAGGTGCTTGAAGGCAACTCGACACCACGGGTAATCGTGGAACCTGTCCAGGTACATGACAAGCCTGGCTAGTTTGACAGGAGTTTGTTGACCAGAATTCCGGGCCTGAATGAATCCGGCGTATACACTACAAAAAAAGTGAAGAATTGTATCACAAAACTGAGTGATACTATTTAAAATCATTTATTTATAAGTGAGACAAATATACATGATTTAGCATCAATTATAAATACATGATGCTGTAATTAACTAGTTTTGCATCATTTCAATTAATTGATATCATTTATATTAATTTGTATCACTTTAAACAAAATTGATACTATTATCTAATTTTATTTTGATTTGATAATAGAAAACTAATTTGGCATCGGTTACAAAAGTAGCATTAACAAAAACAATAACGATAATAATTAGCATCAATATTAAATTGATGTTACATGTAAAACTTTGCATCGCTTATATAAAAGTTTCTTAGAAGGTTAGTTGTTAGAATCACTTCTTATATTTTGATACTAAGTTTACACCAGTTTTTTTTAGTAACTGACCAAATTTCTTTTTTCCTTTTAACTTTAGTTTTTTTTAGGCGCCCATTTTTTAGCCATCCCGGTTGTTTTTTTCTTGGAAATTGAATATTAATGTTGGGATTAGTGTTTCATATTTTCCTTAAATAAATTAAACAAACAATCAGTTATAAATCATTATAGAATCCTAACAGTTACATTCGCTTCCTTTGCAGTTTCTTTCTTTCTTCTTCTCCTCATATAACTTTGCAGCAATTGGATTTACAGAAGATATTCATAAAGGGATTAACAAATAAAACTTATATACTAGAGATTTTCTTGAAGGACTTGTGTATGTAGTCGAGCAGCCAGCACTATATTGTTTCTTCTCCATATGAAGGTAAAATAGATCTGATAATTTTTGTGTCTAATTTCTGTTTCAATGTTTTGTAGGATTAAGTTTACGTTTTCCCTTAACAATCAATGATATTATATCTTGCCAATTGCTTTGAGATATTATTTGATAGGATTAGAAATCCTCTGTGTGATTGGATTTATTTAGTTTGATACTTTTCTATGTTTTTTTTTCTTTCAGGAAACAACTTTTGCTTTAGTATTTGCGATCAAGCATCAAGCGGCCGCAGCATGTTATTGTGGATGGATGATATCGGTGATCAATAGCTGCAGAAAAGATAGAAGCAAAATGATGATGGAAATTATTTTTTCTTAAACTATTAGTTAGTATGAACATTGGATCATTTAATGTGTATTATTTTTCCTCCGCGAGAGGCACGAATTAGGGTTACGAATGTGATTTAGGAAGTGAAGATGCGAATATTTATGTCGGTTAACGAGATTTATTTTGTTAATTTCCGGTTCGATTTAAACAAAGCCGTTTCAACCGGTTTGATTATCTTTAGGTTACAAAGCCGGTTCAACGGTTACGGTTGATTATTTATGGTTTTGACGTTGACAATGTTAGAGTTTAGTGGTTACAATATGGTTTACGATTAACCATTTAAAAGATTTGATTGCTAATTAATATGTGGTCTACAAACGCGATCTACGCGCATAGTACATAGTTTAGGTCTACGATAAAAGTCCGAAAAGAGGTCTACAAGAGTCCGAAAAGAGGTCTACAATAGTGTTCCGATTAACAATCTCGACAATTAATGTTACATGAAGATGGTGTCAAGATTTCTCACAATAGCGAATAACTTATCAGACAGACGAGTACACCAACCACCATACCCAACGTCCTAACCTCGACTCTTCTCTTGCGTCTAGTCCCCAGAAGTTGGGCCTTTAGTTGAACTATTTATGCCTCATTCCGCGTAAGGTCTTCACGATCTGCATTTTGAGCTTCAGTGAGGCGTGCTCCCTGGTTCTCCATGGTACATCTTACTTCTTCGAACTCCTCCATCATAGCCTCGTCCCACCACTTCACCAGATGAGGGGGGCCGAGCTTCATGAGGAATATAAGGAATTAGTATTTGTGAATTAGATCTCAGGAATAAAAACCATAAACACAACTCAACAGTCGGCATTACCTTGTAATCCTTGCACCCGAAGAACATCCGACCAGGATATTCATCCGCATGGTTCATCATTTTGAGCGCAGTCAACAAACCGCAGTAGCATCTACTAGGAATTTCAAAGCTTATAGGTCGAGTGGTATGAGAGCTCACTTCTGCTTCGTCATCACTCCATAGTCTAACAGAGCTATTGGAACCTTCCGTACACCAACAAAGCGCCCCATTTATGAGTATTTGTTTACAGAGAACGCGGGCGGAGAGATTACCGGCAGAGATTTTCAGAAGTAAGAAGTCTTAGGATTAAAAAAGCTAGGGCTTAGATTTATATTTATACCTCGGACTTAATTGGAGGTCTACACGCGCGGTCTGATTGAGTTGCAAATTTTCGTTCTTGCCAAGACGATTTTTCAATTTTCAAAATCCCGCCAAACATTTTAGCAACGTTTTGAGGTCTACGATACCCTAAACCTCAAATTTTGAAAAAAATTATTTAACAAAATATTGATTTCCATTCGGATTTACCATATTTAGGGTTTGGATAATAAGTATATTAATCATATATCAAGAAATGAAGCAAAAATAATAATTCAAAATAAAATCCTCCAAACCCTAAGAACTACACATCTCAACCCTAAACTATCTACTCAAACTCTTCTTCTTTTCAACCATTTACTCATTAGTTTTTTATTTGGTTCGTTTTTCTTAATTTTATTTTTAATACAAGTCAATGTCTAATAAATAATTATGCATACAAGTTGTTTATGAATTTTTTTTTTAATTTTATAATTAAATTTTAAGATTTCTGTTTTCTGGTAGACCTCAGCTGTTAGACAATTTTATAAATTTCTAACCTAATTAACTTTTGCACATTTAAAAAGACTTATTAGTATGAAATTATATTTTATAAAGATTATGAATGTTTATACCTTGTTTCTGAATACAATATCTCAATTAAAATATTTTCTATATTTTTTATAAATTAAAGTTTAGATTTAATTAAGTGGTAGACCTTTTCCTTAGACCTCATATATTTTTATAGCTTTCTGCTGTATAAATCATGAAAATGCGAATTTGATTCACATGTATGGATCCTGTTTTCTTTTATAGCACTAACTAACGACAAAGAGAAATTCTGAAGAGCACAAATGAAACTAAACTCGTTTGTCAGTTGTCATTTTACTGGTTCTGTTTAGTGTTTATTCCTGTAGATTAAATCATACTCCGGAATATGCATGGACAGGGATGTTCTCGAGAAATCAGACATCTATGCATTTGGAGTTCTTCTCTTAGAAGTTAGAAATCATTACCGGCAAGAGGATTTCGAGCTTCACCATTGGAGAAGAAGGAAAAAGTCTTCTCGAATATGTAAGCCAAATCACTCTCTCTATCTTTCTTGAATTCAGATTATGGATCACATGTTTTCTTATTTCTTCAATTTTTTCAAGACATGGGAGCGGCTCTGCTAGATCAAGACATTTTTAGTTCGGGTTCTCAAACCGAAGTAGAGGGATGTGTTCAGATTGGGTTGCTCTGTATTCAACATTAAGTTGTGGATAGACCTAACACTGAACAACTCATGTCAATGCTTACTACGACAATGGATCTTTTACCAAAACAACCCGTTTTCTCATTGCAGGTTCAAGAGAGTGTATCAGAGTCTAAGTCTATGTATTCTCTGAATGGTCTAACACAAATTACTATAATTAGTCGATAAAAGCATTGTTTTCTTACAGATAATCATTTTTACAAATTGAAATCTACATAACTAATAAGGCTTTCCAGCTAGGGACACGTGGCACTTTGTTTTTTTTCCTTCCAAAGCCAAAGCGACGTCGTTTATGCTTCTCACAATTTTTTTTTCCCGGTTACACCAAAACGACGTCGTTTTCAACTTACCCCAAATAACTCCAAAACGACGGCGTTCCTTGGAATGAATCTCAACCCCACCAAAACGACATCGTCTGGTTCTCCCGGAGTCCATCTTTCATCGAAACGAAAATCGTTTACCGAAGTCCATCTGTTTTCCTTCACCGGATGGTCTCCGTTCCGCCTCCTCCCTCATCCACACCCACCTCCGCCGAGACTCTTTGGATTCCGTCGGCCGTTTCTCTCGTCATCTGCCAGAATTCCACCTGCAAAGCCATCCCCGGCAATGACTGCGACGGAAAATCCTGTCTTTACCGGCAACCAAACCCTCTCGGCAGATTCCCCATCGTGACCTGCCGCGTCGTCCAAAACTCGGTCTTGGAGCTTCAATTTTCATGGCCACCGTTCTCGACCATCTCGCCGCCAAAGTAAGTTTCTCGATTCTCCTTTTCTTCAGTTCTTAATTGTTATCCTGAAATCATTTTTTCACAATCAGGTATTCAGTTTAATGATTCATCTCCTCCTCCATATGTTTTTTTATCCAATCCTTGATAGTTGATTCATCTCGCAGATACCTGATTTCTGAGAAACATAATAGGTTTTGTATTCTTCTGCTACTTTATTTGTTTATGGGTTTGCATGACCATCATTGGGTTTTTGACTTACTGATATTCCCAAATTCTGTCTCTGAATCAGGTTAAGTACAACATATGACGAAGTTAAAGTCTTTCCCATCCCTGCTGCATTGTACCTTTTCAAGAATCTGTTACAGGTGTGGGCTTAGGTCGATGTTTGTATTCTCTGTTTTCCTTTTTAGTATGTTTCTGACTACTTGTGGTTGTCACCTTTTATGTGGCAGTACTATATTTTTGCATACGTAGATGCCCCAGGCTATCAGATACTGAAGAACTTGAACATCATAAGTACCGGTGTCTTGTACAGAATTATACTGAAGAAAAAGTAGGTATTTTTGTTCATCCAAATGGATTTCATAGCTTGCAATGAGTAGTTAGTTTTGGAAATCCATCAGTTTTTCGGTTTTTATTCCCCTCAATTCTTTCTCTTCTTGTTCTGAACTTCTTGATCTTTAAGAGTGACATGCTCTATTTATCAGTTTTCATACCAATTTCTTCTATCAGGTTGAGCGAGATTCAGTGGGCGGGTTTCATCTTATTGTGTTGCGGATGCACCACTGCTCAGTTGAATTCAAGGTAGATATGTCTTGAGATTCTTTTACCCTTTGATTTTTCTATCTTGCCATAATATATAAAAGCTCATTTGTGATCAGTTAATGTCTATATTTCTGGCTCTGTGAACTTTGAGGTCTATTGTTTTTCCAGTAAATGGTCTCATATTTGAAATTCGTTTTGCAGTTCTGATCGTGTTCTCCAAACATCTCTTCCGGGCTGGATTATGGCAATTGTAAGTTCTTAGCCACATTAGCATGCTAATACCTACTAAGAGTTGTGAAGCATCTGTCATGTCCACACCAATTGATATAATCGTTTGTCGTCATTTCTAGGTTATGGCTCTTTTAAGTGGTTTCGCCGGAGTGTATACAGAGGTGAGCTGACTTACGACCTTTTACTTTTTATACTGAAAGCTAGCACTGATTTACTTTATTTAAAACAGTATAATTTGGTCACTCTATTGATAACGTATGATTTTAAAGCCTAAAAGGGTTCTGCTTTCCATTTTGCCAGGCTATTATAAAAAAGCGTCCTTCAAGGAATATAAATGTACAGAACTTCTGGCTATATGTCTTTGGGATGGCTTTCAATGCCGTTGCTATAGTGATCCAAGATTTCGATGCCGTTGCAAATAAGATCCATTCATATTTGCTACTAATTAATACACTGAGATTTGCCTTCCTATATCAACATACTTGTGTCCATATAACAATTATGAAAATACAACTTCCGTATAGTCTTGGTGTCTGAGAGTTCATTGTTTTATGCCATTATGTAACACATCTGCTTTGGTATTGAATGGGTGATTTTCTATTTTCAGGGGATTTTTTCATGGTTACTCATTCATTACATTTCTCATGATTCTTAACCATGCTCTCAGGTAAAATCTACTTCAGAGGCTACGCTCTACTTTAAGTGTACGTTAGTGAAGTTTACACATTAAAACACTATGAAGTTAGTGAAGTTAATAATCACATATTTGTTGTTTCTGAAATATCAAGTGTTAATTGTTCACAACTAATTGTTTATCTCATTTGCATCCTTTTCTCCTCAGTCTCTAACTACTGCATTTGCTATCTTTAGCCTCTCATGTGAGAACGCCATTAAAAGTTAATAGAGAGTATTTTTTTCCCTTACCCAGATTTTTGCTGTTAAATTTTAAACGTTTAGCAACAGAACAAATGTGAGCTGTTAGAAAGGTGATCATGATGATAAATATTGGATCTTGTGGTTTTGTAATTTCAGAGAGAGAGTGATGAAGGGAGACGTAGGGTGGAGAGAGTGATGAAGAAGAGAATATAAGCAATCATAGTGCCACAAAATTCGATCTATTTTGTCTAGAATTAAGTTTTTTTCATCGCTATTTTGAAAATTTACAGCAAAGATATTTGAACCCTCATAGTTCTTAACGAGACTGAAATTGGTAATTGCTCTCATGGTGAGTTTATCTGTTCTAGCCGACTATATATGCTTCTTGGTTTTTTTCACTATCTACCTTCCAATGTAACTTTCTTGTTTTCCCTACGTACTATATACACAGCCTAAGTAGATAAGTTATCTTCCTTCATGCATATTTGGATGCAAAAATGTTCTTCATTACATAAATTAGATATCATAACCGGTGTTGAGTTGTGCTTCATATTGATATACAAAATACAAATACTCACAACAACACACAAAAAACTATGAATATATAAACCTGCGCATTGCGCGGGTACTCTCCTAGTGAATGTAAAGATATTGGATATGTGAGTATTGAGTGAGAATGTGTTGAATCTCTACTTAAGTTATTTCTCTAGAATAAAACAGAATTTAGAAGACAAAAGAGCATTTAACTTTACGTCGTAAATGTCCAAAAGCACACGAGTCTTGACTCTTTATTTTTTGTCTATGAGAGAGAAAGAGAGAACCCTTTCAGTTTCCTCTCTCTTTCGAATTTCGATACCAATATCAAATTACGCAGAAATCTGACCAACAATGGAACGAGTTCCTGTCATGTAGCATTTATTGTCATTGGGAAGTTGGAATTATTTAAAAAGGATGAAAATCCTTTCATTTTCCTCTCTCTTTCTCTGTGTCAAAACCCTTTCAGTTTCCTCTCTTTTTCGATACCAATATAAGCTGCTATTTTGCCAATATTCTCACAATATCTTAACCCTAAATCTCGGAGAGTGGTGGTGTGTTGTTGCATCTCTGCTCAGTTTCTTTGAGGAGCTTTAGAAAGGTACTTGGTTATAGTAGTTCGTTTTAGATCTCTTTTCTTAAGAAAAACTGAGATGTTTTTGTCATTTTGTGTATCATTTGACAAGCTTTGTAGACTGAAACATTTATCAATGCGTCTGATTTAGCTCTTTTAGGCTTTGTTTCTTTGTTAACTGACTTTGTAGTGGATTTCGTAAGGTTATTTTATTTGCATTGAGTGGAACTGTAAATATGTTAACGTGTGATCTCGTGGACTTTTGCTAAGAGCATACAAAATTATGGGGATGAAATTGAAAAGTAAAAAACTTATTTGTGAAGCTGGATTACGACTTACAAGAACAATGGTTTGAAGATTTAAGTTGAACGAATTAGTTGTTATCACTACGTAAAAGTCCAATACAGTTATGCCTTGCTCATATTTATGTTTCTTTTATTTGGAAGATAGCTCTATGACTGATTTAGACTAGAATATCTTCATGCATCTCATCATGGACATACAGTACTTCTCGCTGAGATTTACTCCGGTAGTGGACTCTTAATGGGCCTAAATTTATTAATAATATAGGCCTAGCCCATACGTCTAGAGTATGCTGTATAAATCAAATGAGATAATAAGACTAACCGATTTACTGTTAAATCTTTTTCTTTTGTAATTAGTATCAGAACTTTACATAGTTGTTACTACATTTCTTAATATGGTACAAATTAGTCGTTAAATGATGATACCATGCCCAAATTAGGATAATTTTGCTCACAGAGATATAAGAGTAAGTTTAAACCCTAGACGGCTTAAACCCCTTTCGCATTCCCAGAGTAGTTCATCTTCTTCGATTTTGATTTTGCTTCCCACAGTTAGCTTTCGAAATGGGCGATCTCGGAGGAAATCAACCGCCGGTAATCAACGGCGTGTTTGTGGAGACGAACCTGGTGACGCGTCTCGTCGTTCCGGTTGTGAAAGACGAAACCATCTCGAGTTTCAAAGGTGAGAACAAAAAAAAAAATGAAATCCCCAAATTAGTAAATCAGTCACTCAATTTCTTCCTTACTCCATTGAATCGGATTCTAAACTTGTAGTGGTGTTGGTAATCGGATCATGATTTCGTTGTTTGTTTACAGATCGGTTTCGCGAGGAGCATCATGAACATTTCACAGAAACTGGAGAAATCAACATTGATGCGGTGAAGGTAAAAATCATAGCTTTTTGGGTTAATACACGTTTTTGTTTGCTAGGAACAAGTAATTGAGCCATGTGGTGTTTCTTTATACATAAAAAATCAGGTGAAATGCGGAGGTTGTTTGTATGAATTGTCAAATCATATGAAAGTGAGTGACGCTTTTGACGCCATTAGTAGAAACTGGTTTCTATATGTCGATGCTGCTAAGGTTGAGAAGGAGAATCCTCTGGCCATAGTTGTTGCTTCTCAAAACTGTTGGGTTGAAGGAAATCAAGAGGTTGGATCTGAGAAGACAAGAGCAGGGAAGAGGAAAGTGAAAAGCTCGGAGGGAAAGAGAGGTCGTAAGAAACGCGTGACTGATGATGGTGTTAATCAATCTGCCAAGGTTGAGAAGGAAGATCTTCTGGCTACTGTGGTTGCTGATCAGAAATGTTCCAACCCTGGTTTGGTTGGAGAAGATAGAGAGATTGGAGTTGAGTCAGTACTTGAACAAGGGTTGGAAACACAAGTACCTGTAGCTGAGAAGACGAAAAGAGAGAAGAGGACAGTGAAAATCTCGGAGGGAAAGAAGAGTCGTAAGAAACGCGTGAGTGATGATGTTGTTAATCAATCTGCTACACTTGACAAGGACGATCTTCTGGCTACTATGGTTGATGATCAAAAACGTTCGAACCCTCTAATGGACTCTGTACTTGAAGAAACACAAGTAGCTGTAGCTGACAAGACAACAAGAGGGAAGAGGGAAGTGAAAAGCTCGGATGGAAAGAAAAGTCGAAAGAGAAGCGTGATTGATGAGAGGAATGAGGTTGAAGCTGTTGTTGTTGTTGATGCACCGATATCTGAAGTTTTACCGAGAAAAGAAGTAGACGATGTTCTTAGTGGAGCTCTAGGAAAAGGTAACTATCACAGAACATGTAGATTCTGTTATTGAGTATGACATTTGATGTTTATAGACCTTGAAATCGGCAATCTTTATTGTCTCATAATTTTACTGGTGATTTTCTGTAGAAAACGAGACGGGTGAGGAATCTGTCGAAGATAATACTCAAACTGATAAACTAGCGAGCCAACCAGAGAATCATTTGGAGAAGAAAAGGAATAGAAAGTCCAAAAAAGCCAAAAGACTTGCTAAAGGAGAGAGTGTTCCAATTCTTGTGAAGAATCTTGAACCTATGGAAGTTGTAGATGGAGAAGAGGCTGATAATGTCATCAGGGATGTATTAGATTCTTTGCAAGAAATGAAGGGAAATCTGGACAAGATGGAGGATAAATCAACCAAGATTTCGAAGAGGAAACACGTTGAGAAGATTGTGGAGTCCCAAGTTGAGGTAAACAGTGCTTCTTTGGAGGAGGCTCTTCCCTTCAAAACTGCAAAAGACACCGATGCATTGTTCATGTCGCCTAAGGACGTCGCTGGTAATAGTGAGGATAATCAAAGTCTAGAGGTGAAGGCTGATATGGGAGATACTTTATCTCCTAGTCAAAAGGACCATGTTGCGGATGGTGGTGATAAGAGGCGAGATCATGTGATCGATGCAGCTAAATCTAAAGAGGAGAAGAAAGGCCTTGACATGCATCACGATGGCTCCATTAACGGTTCCGTGAGCTCAAAGCAACCGAAAGAGAAAGTGGCTAGATCAAAGGTTGATCATTCCGCGGAAGTCGCTGTCGACAGCAAGAAAGAAGCTGCAAAGAACAACATCTCCAACAGTATCATCGATGGTTCATTGAGCTCAGTGAAACCGAAAGAGAAGAGATCTTCAGATGTTTCCAGTGGAGCACCATCTAATAGTACATTAGACGATGATGAGAGTGATGTGAATTCTGTGTCTAGGAAGCAAGGTACTTTATTGATTTAGATATAACTTATATTTAGATTTAGATGCTCTCTAGTCTCTATGTTAATTCCGGTTGTTGATCTCAACAGGAAACAATCTGTCCGTTGGAGGAGCAAAGTTGTAAGTGACCGTTTAAAGGATGTTTTATGGTCAATTAATAGCTTTCGTAAACTCAAAGTCCTAATATTTCGTTGTCCTGTCTCTGATAATGCTCTGATAATGTTTTGCAGGAGCTTGGCAGATGTACTGAGAAGATCAGCAAGTTACAAGAAGGCGAAACTGAGTGCTGAACAGTCACAAGCCGAAGAGAAATTGTGTTTAGACCCTGAGGAAAAATAGATGGTTAGAACTTATGGTTTTGCGGATTATGGTTTTTCTTTTAGAACCTCTCGGATTATGTTTTTTCTTTTGTGACAGGTTTTGTTGATCAACTGTGCTCTTTGCAAGAGTTGCTGTTACAACAACTTGAAGAAAACGTGAACTTGT